TTTTGCACCTTCAGTTTGCTGCCTTCCGGCAACTGATGGGATTGTGGGTGGAATAGCGAGTGCTTCGGCAGCCATCCGCATGCACGGTCATCGCACACCGCCAAGCAGGAGCCACCGCCATCAAGGTGCTAGTCAATCAGTAAGCAACGGAACAGTGCTGATGTGACTACAAGATGGGTGTGAGGGAAGTGGTGGAGCAGTTGGTGGCGATGCATGCCCACACTCATCTCACATCACTCGTGGGTGCGACTATTTGCATTGCTGTTGGCGTGAGTGGAGGCGTTCAGACTCGTCCATTTCTGTTCCATTGGAACTAATCGTGACTGCTGGTGACCAACCAACAGACAGACTGACGGGCCAGTTGACTGAAAGACGAACTGAGTGGCAGCATGCAGACGTGCTTTGTGTTGTATTTTGCAAGCAATCAGCAGTTGACCTACTGCGACAACGAGATGATGCCTGCAACACTGGGAGACACATTCAAATACGGAAGATGGCAGACGTCGTTTGCTGGTTGATTCGAAGGCGACCCCGTGCAAATCAAACTTATTTTTCTTCCTCTGCCCATGACTCCACGCAAGCAACCACTCACTACTTCACCTCTTTCCTTGTCTCATTGCACAAAACATTTGCCATTGTTGGACATTCACCACTGTCGTTTGGTTGGAAGAAAGGTGCGACCTCTGGTAGGCGTTAGGAGACAGGAAGTGGACAAGAGGGGAGGGGAGGGGAGGGGAGGGGAGACAACTTACATGGCAAAACGTTCTGATACCGGTTCCTCAAATGGTTCTCAGGATGAGCACCCACCTCCATTGTCAGACACTTCTCTCCCTGCTGTGTAGCAGCCATGCATTGCAGTGTCTGGAAAGAAAGCACCAGACTTAAATGCTCTCTTCCACCCAAATTTGTCAAGTTGTGTGAATCGGAATTTGTGGCAACGACAAGAGGCGTGAATGGTGCAGGTGAGACCATTGGCAAGAAAGGCATCAGCCAACCGACAGTTGTAGCAGAGAGGGATGGTTAATTTACCTTGAATTCCTCACGCAGAACAGCGTAGTCGTTTGTGGCGTAGGTGGCGACCGTTTGTACGAAATCCGGCAGGTGAATAGGCGGTGGAGCCTTCCGCAGACGCCTAACACGCACACAAACAAAAAGGCCTTACGTGAAAATGAGTGCGGGCAATTTTCGAGTGTAGACGCACAATTGTTTTATTATTATTAAGAATCTGCAACGCAAAACACTACTTGTATTGTTGAAGAAATTGTTAAATGCAAATAAAATTTAAAAGTAATTGATGTAAATGAAAATTAAGTAAAGGTGACATCGGAAGTGCTTACATGCCAAACTTCTTTGGCAGTATGGATTTGAAATCAGCTTCGATCGCATCCTCATCATCATTGCACATTTTCCTATAAAAAGAAATGAAACTCTGTTTTGGCGTCGCACAAAGCCAGCAAATGAAGGACATTAGGTGGTCAAAACGTAGCGCTTTTTTGGGAGAGTTCAAAGTTGGGAAAGATGGCCTTTGATGTAGAATTAGGAAGATTAGTCGACAGGTCGGTCGCTTCATTTGCCAACCAGCCAATCTACCTTTATTGTCAGGATCACGCATCGCGCCAGTCCTTCCCATCCTTTTCTCTTAAGCATCTATTCTGTGAAGGGTTCCGGTTTAGCTGGTTTCATGGCAAGAAAGCAGGTCTGCAAGGTGAGGTAGGCTCAGTCGCAAGCCTGTGACAAAATCCAGCTTTAGGAATGGATGTGTGCTACACGACGGAGGCGTTTGAGATGCAGTAATGGAAGCGATCGCGGTTTAGTAATGTTTGATCCTGCTCTTGAACGCTTTCGTTATGAATGCGGTGTGTCACTACTGCATAAGGCAAAGTTGGCACCGCGCTACTTGTTCTGATCGGCGAATATGATGGAACAGCCAATGGTCGTCGGTCTGGCGACGCCCTCATTAAACGCAAAAGCATGCGGAGGGATGTTCGAGCCTCCAGGAGACTCACATGTACTGGTCCTGTCTCACGATCTTCTCCTTTCGCTTCTTCACAACAACAGCAACCACTGCTACAACAGTGAGCAAGACGATGGCCAGAATGCCTGTTATGAGAACGGCTTGGAGGCCACGTTTTGACAGGACGACTACAAGAGAGAGGCAACACCATATTCGAGTCAAATGAGGACCTCTTTACCTGCGAAAACGCGCAGCTCGGGCAGAACTTCTGCACTCAGTAAAGTTGATAAACGGCGCAATGGCATCCGCTCTTTCAATATGTACTTATCTGCTTCCCTTTTCCTGATATTTCTTACAACCAAAGCAGTATTAAACTGAGGAGTACTCTCGAGTGTTTCTTTCGTGAAGATCTTGATAACTCCTTATCCTACTGGTAATAAAAGATGAAAAAATGTAATAGTAGCTCACTGTTTTACCTTTAGCATTTGTTTGCCAGGGC